GAAGGTGGCATTTAAGATGGGTCTTCCTGGGTCCTAAGCAGGAGGGATTGAAGAGGCTTCAGGCCAACTCTCACAGGCAGCTTCTTTCACCCTTACTCTTGTCTCATGGCTCTAATGACTGTCCTCTTGCTTGCCTCCTGGCCTGGGTTATGATAGTGCAGTACCTCTAGACCCTGTACTTGGGTCTTAACTTGCTGGTATGTGGTTATGCATCCCTGAACCCTAGGGTCCTTCCCAGCTCTAACTGGGTTATTTCTCTGCCACCTGCTACATGCACTGAGCCAGTCCATTTCCAGGCACAGCAATCCTTGCTGTTGGGCTGGTCCCATTGTGAAGTAGGCCAGACTGAAGATATGATGATAATAACCTAAGCTGAGCCTGAAAAAATCTGGCCACAGGAAAGGGAAGAAGCAGCTGGAGGCATGTGTGCCACTTCACCCCCGGGCTCCAGGCCCTCCCCTATCCATTTGGGAAATGGGGACAATTCCTGCCTCCAAGAGGCAGGGAAGCCTTGCTGCCAAGGAGGTGTGTTGGTGGAGGCTGCCCAAGCATGATGCTCTCCAGGGCTTTTGATCTGGTTCTGAGAAGAGCCTCTCCAAGGGTCACTGGCCCAGCAGTTCCACATGCAGCCCATCCTTATGGCACAAACATGCCTTCATGAGCTGTTTTTAGGTTATGTATTAGGGGTAAATTCCTGCTATGAAGAGATTTCATATACCAATGAGTAAGTGGATGCATATTGTAAACACTTTCCATTCTGAATGATAGATGAATGGAGCTTCTGGTTATATATTGTTTGGAAGGGAAGAGAAGGCAATTACTGCTGCTTTTGGCCTGACAGTTGGGACCCAGGGGTTGCATCAGACTCAAACAATATACTTTCCAAGTACTTGGGGAAAAGGGAACAAAATGTAGGCATCAAGGCTAACTCTAAGTAACTTAGAGCTAACCCTAATTAACTTAATTAGTTAACCCCATTTAACTTGACACTGTGTGGGGAGGAATGTCTGTTCTCAGGTGTAATGCCTGAGAAACAATTTCTGCATGTACCTCTGCTAAGTCAATAAACAGGTACTCCTTAATTCTCTGCCAGATCCCCAAGCTGGGAGAGGTGATATCCAGTCTAGGATCTAGAAACTGCAGGCCATGAAGAAGGGCAGGTCAGCGGGGAAAGGCATCTGCTAGGGGACACCAAAGAAGGACAGCTAGAGAGGAGAATGTGCAGTCCCCCTAGTATTTTCCAGGCAGAGCACAAGCCCATGACCTAACTCCCAGTGCCAGTTCTCTGGACAAGCATGTGCTATTGAGCTCCCCAACAGAGTCTGTTTCCAGTTGGGCTCCCTGGGCAGCAGACTTAGAGATGGAGATCAGCACGTGCTGTTGGGGTGCTCTCCACTTCAACCTGTGGCGGGAAGAAAGGAAGCAGCTTTTGAGTTGGCCTGAGTTGGGTGAGGAAACCAAGCCTTCACACCTCAGTTTCAGCCAGTCATTGGATGTACACTGTCCCCAGAAAGGAGGCAGTGACCTTGGGTGAGGAAGCTCTCTTCACTTGGGGGCAATTCCTGAAGAAGGCTGGTAACTGAGGGCTGTTAACCAGCAATACTGCATCCACCATCTATGGGCAGATGCCCTTCAGCTGTGAAGACTGACCTGGGTAGCATATCATGGTGCCCACTTTTCCTTATCCACTCAGCTCCACTTCTTTGTATAAGTTCTGGGAGAAGATCTACTTTTTCTGGGGAAAACTGATGGTTAATGGGACAATCACAGTCCCCACCACTGTCATTACCTTGAGACCCCAACTGATACTCATCGTCTTCCTCCTCTGCTTTCCATTTTAGATTCTTCTCACTGTCAGGAAGCACTTTTTTCAACCCCTGAGGCACTTGTGGCCATGGCTGCTGCGCTTGTCTATTTAATGTCAAAACAGAACAAGGGTGTAACAGAGACACCCAGCTGGACTGTCAGGGTGCCAAACACTTTCCTCTTGCTCCCATTGTGTAATTGCAGCCCTGGCTCTTCCTAATGATCAGGGTCAATTACTGCTGCCAGGATGGAGACTCCTGCTTCTTGCCTGCTAGTCCCTTGGCATGAGGAGCTCAAAGTGCGTAGTGGCAACTGTAAACTAAAGTTCAATGGGACTCTTACTATATCCCCTGATGAAAATACTTCCTCTTTGGGAACAAGGATCTCAATGTCCTCAAAGCTCAGAGCTGTGACAGTGCAGTAACTCAATGGGGTCACTGGGGTTAATGGTAAATGGAGCCACTCTTACTTACACCCCTTGGATCCTAGACCTATCTATTCCTTTTACTGGGATATAGCACCATACTGATTGTTGATGGAGTGTATACCATGGCCCGAGTGATGGTGCCCCATCCTTAATTGGTAGCATCTCTGTGCTGGCACCTCAGCTGTGGTTTCACAGGTCATTCCTTCTGTTCAGGCTGGCATCTTCCAGAAGGCACAGAATGTGATGGGGCCAGTGGATCCCAGGGTCATTTGCCAGTGTCACACTCCTTTGCTGTGCAATGGATCCTTTGGTCCAATGCAACATTATGTGGGATCCTGTGACCCCACTGACTTGGGTCAGACATTCGGTGAACACTCAAGATAGTGGTGCTGGCTGAGCCATATTAGAATGCAGCAATTTCAGTCAGAATCAATTGCTGCCATTTCCAGGAAGGAAGGTATCCAATGTAGTCAACTTATCAAGTGGCTGGCTGCTCTCCATGAGGAATTCTGCTATTTCAGAGGCTCAGCACTGAATTAATTGCTGGCTGGTTGGACATTCAGCAGTGGCAGTAGCTGCATCAGCCTTTTTGAGAGGGAGCCCCTGCTCTTGGATTCAGGTATTGTTTCCATCCTTGCCACCATGGGTACTCCATGCATGTACCCTTTATGCCAGTACTAAGATAGCTGATAATATCTGGCTGACATAAGTTGGTGAGCCATTCTCTCTCTTTGGTTGTTTAGTGCCTATTTCACAGTAGATCCTCTCTGGTGAGCATCTGCACACTCACTTACTGCTCACTCATATAGTCCTTCCATATGCCTCCATCCCAGACCTCCTTGTCTTGATCTTATTTTTCTTCTCCCAGGCCCCTGATCAACCAGACAAGTCAATTACTAGTGCCATAAGTCCATATATGTTCTAGCCTTATTTATATTTGTGTCCACACAAAGTGAATGACCAGGCACAGCACCAAGAGGATGTATTCATTGGGAGCATTTCTCTTGCCATGTCTTTCAAGATCACCCCAGGGTTGGACTATTGTGCAGCCATAGTTCACTTTCATCTTACACCCACATACCATTTTGACCTTTCTGCGAATTGAGTTGTGCTTTTTTTCTTCCTTTTTCAGCTGGTCATAAAGGGATACCTATCCTATGCAGCCATAGGTGTGAGCTGAGAGAAGCAAGGGAGCACAAAAGGTAGGTGACATGGATGTCTAGGCCATCTGCTGGTGTAGCTTACTTGTGCCCCTAGCCCTGCTCATGGCCAATTCTGGGTGTACCACTTCCATTTTACTATGAATATTACTGGGTCTGGTCAGTTTTGTTTTGGTGGGTCTGATAGGCAGAACCTTATATAAGACAAGCTCATGATAAGTTTGGATCAACTTAAAAATACACACAGGGAAAGAAGGGATTAGCAGTTACCAAAGGGGAGGGGTTGGGGAGGGTGAGTGGGGAGGGAGAATGAGATTAAGGGGCATTATAATTAATACTCACAATATACGTAGGTCACAGGGAAGGCAGTATAGCACAGAGAAGACAAGTAATGATTCTATAACATCTTAGTATGCTGATGGACAGTGACTGTAGTGGGGTATGGGGGACTTGATAATATGAATATTATTACCACATGTTGGTGATGTGAATGTTAAAACCACATGTTGCTCATGTGAAACCTTCATAAGATTATATATCAATGATATCTTAATTAAAAAAATACTTTGTTGCTAAAAAATGCTAACCAAAATAAAATATATATATATATACACACACACACATACACACACACACACAGGGAATAAAAATTTTCAACATTGTTCTGGGGATACACAAGCAAAAAATGCTTGTTAATAATAGATTGGAAGGGAGATTAGGCTAGAGAGTACTGTTAGGGACTGAACAAAAAAATGGTAGAGAGAATGCTGTAGAAAAATTGATTTTTGAAGTTCTGAAGAAGAATTGATAGGTGGGTATAGAAATGGAGATAGCAAGCATACATATGTACCTTTTAAAAACAAAGTCATAGCTGTTAAAGGAAGGAGACGGGGGTAGTATCTGGAAAGACAACACTAAGATATTTTTTTTCAAAGCTTTTTTGAAGATGGACTTGACTTCATGAACTGAGAGGAAACAGACAGTAATGAGGGAGAAAAATGGCTGCACCGGGAAGGGGTGGCTCAGCTAGAGTTTGTGAGAACTCATTTAGATAAACAAAAGTAGAAAACAAAATGAAAACCAAGCATAAGTGGTGAGCTCCTTTTAATCAAGAGAAGCTGGACAGTAGGAAAGTCATCCTCTCCTCCCACACCCCCATCGTGGCCATCCTACCATCATTGAGAAAAGCCTGGCTTGGGAAAGGGGCAAATACTGTTTTCTGTTATATACCCATTTCTCCTTACCTGCTTTCAAGGGAAATAAACATGAGGACTAATCCCCAGAGTGAACTCAAGACACTCTGGGTAAGGCAGATCTCAATTTCACCTCCAGTAAAGCATAATTTGTCTCTTTTTGGAGAAGTATCTTTTATTAAGAACATCTAAAATTGCTCAAATAACTACAGTAAAGTAGAATTTCTAAATGTATTGCCTTGGAGGGAGCACAGCTTTTTTCAGAAGATGTCCTTTCACATTATTTTTTTCTTGTTTGTCAATAAGGTACTTAATATAAGCACACAAAATAATAAGGTAACAATTTTGGGTGGGGTTTCCCTATTGACATCCCTCAGTTTCATTTTAATACGTTTGTATGAGAATAGTAATTTAATACTCTTCAAGACAGTCTGGCCAGGTTGTTCATGGCTGGTGCAAACGAGGTTTTTGGTAACCTATTTACTGTCTCACGTTGTCTTTTTAGGGTCAAAGGGAGAGAGGTAGAGTTACTACCCGACCAAAAGGACTACGGCATTTCCAGATTGCGACGGGGCACGTGCCCACGTAGCTCTCTAGAACGTGTCCTGGGCTCCAAGCTTGTCACACGGGTCCGCGCTCGCGTCGCGGGGTTCGCAGAGAGACGAACGCTTGGACTCGGATCTTCGGGGACCCTCTCGGCGCCGCGGTTTTGGGAGCTTCCCGTTGAACTACCGGGAGGGCAAGGAAAGTGTTCGTGGCAGCTGTCGCCAGGCCTCAACCGGATCTCCATCCTCCGAAGGTGTCTACGCTGTGCCCCGACCTCCAACCGGGACACCCCTAGCGCCCCGCAGAGGCAATACCAAAGCCCTGTTCCAGCCTAGACTCAAATTAGTGAATGAGGAACCGGTCCCCCGACTCTCAGAACAATTAAGCGCGGTGCAGAATTCCACCAGGCACCTGGCCGCGCCCCTTGGAGGGGCGGGGTCCGGTGCCCAGAAGATGGCGGCAGCGGCGGGGTCCCACGGTCACTCCCACTGGCGCCCTTGATGGGCTCTCGCTGCCGCACCACCTACCTTGATAGCCAGGAGCGAGGAGGCGGAGGAGCGGTGACAAGCAGTTGGCGGCGCCAATCAGCACTGAGGAATCCGGGCCGTACCCAATGAGGGCCCGGACGGTGGAGACCGGGGTAGGTTGCAAGGGGGCCAGCGCGAGTGGCGGACGCGGAACGCGTGGGTACTCTTCTGCTGCTGGGCGGGAGCCGCCCGCCTCGCTGCTTTCCGCGCGCTCTGCACCGTGGCCCCTGGCGCCGGCTTGAGGGCGCCCTGGAGGCAGAGGGTCGACAGGGCTGGCCGGCCACCGGCCCGCGAGATTGGCAGCCCAAGCCCAGAGCACCTCCAGCAGCGGTCGCGGGGCCACTCTACGGCTGTGTCATGACTGACTCTTCCCCCAGAGGGAACTCTTTCTCAGCGGCGGCTGCAGAGAGAAGGGCCTGTTAGACCGTGAGACGAGTTCGGGGCCGCCAAACAGGGGGCTCGGAGGTCGCGTGCGCCCTCCCGGGCTCGTTGCTGTAGCCCCGTTAGGCAGGCCTCTCCCGCCTCGCGCGGCGGTATGTTCCCGCGGAGGTCGCCGGCCGTCCTGGCGGCCTGGCTGGCTGGCGCGGCGGCGGCGGGGGCGCGGGGCGGGGGCCTGCTCGCCCTGTTGGCCAATCAGTGCCGCTTCGTAACGGGCCTGCGCGTACGGCGCGCGCAGCAGATCGCGCTGCTGTACGGCCGCCTGTACTCGGAGAGCTCGCGCCGCGTCCTCCTCGGCCGCCTGTGGCGCCGGCTTCGCGGCCGCCCTGGCCATGTCTCGGCCGTGATGGCGGCGCTCGCCGGCGTCTTCGTGTGGGACGAGGAGAGAATCCAGGAGGAGGAGTTGCAGAGGTGAGCCCGGGGGTATGTCTTTCCTGTTGCCTGGGGTGCGCGCCCTCCCGGTTGGAGGTTGGGGCACTGAAACGTAGGGCCTGCCTTTGCGGACAATGTTGCCGGTTTACCCCGGTGGTACTTGAAAGGGCGATGCAGTAGCTTAATTCTGTTTTAGCAAACCACGTTTTTTATTGTCTCTAATGTGTTAATGTAACTTGACGGGTTAGAAGTAATTGGAAGTGTAGGTTCGTGTAGGGGAGAGACTTTGGGGAGCAGGCACTAAAGAAATAACATTGTAAAAACACATGGGATACGAAGGCATGTGGGCCGTTGCTCGCAATCCTTAACACATCCAGAAAGGTGCAAATGCAGAACAGATTTTAAACTTGACCTAAGGGTGTATTTACGATTTACAGAATTACTCCGTTCCAAGTAAAATTTAATGAGAAATGCTAGGAGAGCTCTTTTGTCATTGTGACTGTTGTGTCAGAATTAGGAGACTGGAAGGTTTTTTGCTGTCCTCGGACAGACCAATAGCGCAGACATGGTAATCCGTAAGAATTAGGTCGGTTTTTTGCTACTTTAGGACTTTGGGGGTGCTGTTTTCATTAGGCACCGAAATCACACTGTCATCGTTGAGAGCTGTTGTGTGAAAAGTGCAGTGCCATTGTTTGAATTTGTTAATGTATTATAAATCAGAGCCCTTAGAGTTTCCAAGTAGTTCGTGGGGAAATCTTGCTTTTGCTCTTGCTTTACATTGTTTCTGTGTTTCTTTTTAACAGATATTCTTACCCTGTGCTCTCTCGGTGCACACACAACACCCTCTGCCCCCTAAAATCTGAAACTGATTTCAGCCTCCTCCCCTTGATAAATCCCTGCAAGTCTACTTATTCTAGATATTTCTTCTGTTATTCCACATTTTGGTAAGGTTAAAAATGGAAATACTTAAAAAATTTATACTGTGACCTGTTTGAAGGTTAGTGCCCAGGTGCCAGGCAGCTACTTGGGCAGCACTATAAGTTGTGTGTTCTTAAGAACTGGTAATATTTTTCTTAGTAGGGAAGATGACTGTTTTATAAATGCAATTTAAAATCATAAAAGCAACCTGATTGACAAAAACAATTAAGATACCAAAGCATGATAGGCAGTTTGCATGATTTCTGTTAGTTCTCCTTTCCTGCTTGCCCATTTGTTTTTATTAAGCAGTCTTAGATGTGAGAAATAAAACAATTTATGCAAAGGGAACTTTAAAATTGAGAAGTTATAAATAACTGTTCGAATTTTCATTGTATTTGATGGTGAAATGCTCATGTTCAGCGGTGGTGAGGTTTGAGGGGAAAATCCCCAGTTGTATCTGTTTGGGGAAGAGGTGGGGAAGAGGAGAAAGACAAAAGACTAGGTGCAAATGAGAGGGAAGATATTTCAGGGATCTGAGTTGAATAGTGTTGGGGCCTAGGTGGAAGATGACATTTTTCAGCTTGCTTCATGTGTGTTTATGGATGATTGTTCTGGAGCCTCTTTTTAGTAGGTCTATGCAGGAGCTAGATGGGAAAATGAGCTAGGAAATGAATGTGATAAACATTTGTGTCAGTTACCACTGCCCACTGTGGCAGAAGGAGGTAGATCACTCAATGCCCAGTCCTAGTTTTCATTCTGTTGGCCTCTCTTGGGCCTCTCTTGGTTTCTTGTTTGCTTCTCTTGGTTGCTCTGAAACCTGGGGCTGTTGGAACACTTGGTTCTAATCCAGTTCCTAAAGAGATATTGCTCTGGGTTAACCTCCTTGGGAATTTCAGAAGCTTAGATGAATGTCAGAACACTAAGGTGCCGTTTTTGGCCCACTCCCGTGTTATAGTAGGGTTCCTAACTTAACACTTCACTGTCCAGTTCATTATTGATTTCAGTCATATACTTAAAATTTGATCAAGTTATCCATTTTGAGGATTTTTTTGAATGTTACCTTTTTAAAATGTTAACATTATTTAAGTATATCTTGACTGTACAATGTTTCTATAGATTTGTCATGTTTATATTAAAATACCCTGGATACAGGTTAACATTTTTAACTTTTTAAAACATTTTTTGCTTGGTGTTTATGTGCTTTAAAGGAGGCACTGCTGAGGTGGTTGTAGGTAGCTTAGAAAAGCCTAGATTTTGGTCTTCTAGTTATATGATTTGTGGTGCACAGTTGAGAGTGCCGCCGGACAAGTGCATTTCTTTTCCTTGTTAATGGAAGAAGACCATGATTGTCCCATGGCTTCCAAATCGTAGCCTTTGGTTCTTCTGTGCTGTGCCTGTACCAACTTGTGCTGGTACAAACTAATTCTAATACTGCTGTCTTGATAAAACAGGGATGGGGTGTGCAGGATACTTCTTCGAATGTGTGATTTAAAGTAGCAGGTGTTTTTTCTTACATTATTTGAGTTTCTATTCAGAGTGAAAAAGAATGATCTTGCTTTCTCTTCTTTTGTGCTTAAGAAATAGGATCTCATTAATCTAGCAACAACAAGAAAATTTGAGAAATAACTGGTACAAAGTGAGTGATTCACTGATGGTGGTGTCAGATATAGAAATCAGATCTTTTAGTATTTGATCTATTCTTGCCTAATTGGCTTCAATTAAACAAAATAAAATAATTAACAATTAAAGAAATGAAACTTCAATTAAACAAAATAACAATCAGAATAACTTCTAATCATTATTTTTGGTGCTGGCAGTCTGTGAGCCCAGGGCAAATCTTAGGGGAAAATACAATAGTAATTTTTTATTGTATTGGAACATTAAAAAAAAAAAACTACAGGAACAGAAAGAGGAAGGATGTTAAGAAACATGAAAGGCTCAGGGAAAATGTCCCATTAACCTCCCCACTTTGTTAAAAAGTTACAGTTCATTATTACTCTAGAAATTTGAGTAAGTGCCAGTAAATTTTCATAAAGAAAGTTGGTCATTTTTCCATTTCTGTCTTTGGGGAATTCAGAATACTTGGAACATTCAATATGCTATTAAAACTAAATTATCCACAAAGAGTCCTTTTGGCTTAAACAAACTTTTTTCTTATTTATTTTTGTCACTGTCACTTGAGTGTATTTTACTGATATACCCAATTTAGATGATCAGAACTATGTAGAAGCTGACTTGAATTTTTTTAGATTATCTTCATTGTTTGGCTATTAACCAGTTGGCTCAGAATTGCAATGAGGTAGTTGATGTCTTTTATTTCTAGATGTGTCCTCTAACTGTTGTATTTGAAAATCTCTAACTTTGACAATGATTTGTGATTTGAGGAGGGGATCATGTGAAGTGAGGCAGTTGTGTTACTGAAATTACTGATAACGGGGATGGCTTCATTTGAATTATTTTGGATCCCCATGTCAGTGTCCACACCTCGTGAGATGAGCCAAACGTGACTATACCTATTTTTCTGTTTTTGTGCTTTTATGCCTTTATTTTCCATAGTACTCCAGCCTTTTTCAAATACTGAAATGACTTTAGTTTTGGAGAGGGAAGCATTCACTGTCTTCCCTTGATCCCCTTGCTAATCTGCTGGCTCTGTTACTATTTTGGTAATAATCTCCTTTGTCCTTTCCTCTCTTCTTACTACTCAAGTCTCTTAGATGATGAGGTTTAGACACCCATCCCATCCGAACAAGATTTGGCACAGCAGGCTAAAGGGATATATGGTGAGAGGTTTTTCCTTCCTCACTAACATACATGATATCACTAACGTATGTGATAGTGAGTGACTTTGTGTACCTGTGTGCTAATTACGTCTGTTATGTAGAATTTAAAAGTTCAGACCCTTTAGAAATTCTTGAGCCGGGGACATAACAGTCATTTAAATTTTCATGTTGCAATCTTGTTCCAGCATTCATGTTGTGCTATTCAAAGAATGAATGTCATGCCTTCACAAGACATTTTTATCCCCCTCTCGGGACTTAGTCTTATAATTTTAGTCAAAGCCACCTAGTGACCTTTAATTGTGTAAGGAGAGGCTGATTAAGCAATTAGGTCAGAAGTTCTGTATCATCTTGAAGTCTTAGAAGGTCATTAAAAATATTGTCTGTAGTATAGTTTAATTTTCTTAAAACCTTGTTACTATGTAATTTTATGAGCCTCTGTTATGTTTTTAATAAGACATTCCTCCCTCCTCTTCATTATGTGATAAGTGTGACATTCAAGAGTGGTACTTAATTTTATTGAAGGATGCTTTCCTAGTCCTGAAAAGTGCCATAGTGGGTGCCAGGTGATGCCTAAATTGTGTTCTGGGCAAGTCCAGCTGTGGTTTTGCTTTGCTTTCTCCTCTGTAAGAGCTTATTGCCTACTTTGAAGTTCCTTCCCTATTTGTGTACGTGTTTGCATTGGTAGCAGTCAGTCCTCTTTTGCAACTTTTTTTTTTTTTTAACATTTTGGTGTTTATTTTCAATAGGAAGATAGATACTACTCTTTTTTTAATATGCTAATCTTTTTTTTTTTTTGAGAGGGCATCTCTCATATTTATTGATCAAATGGTTGTTAACAATAA